TGAACAAGGCTACAGAAAGGGAGGAGAGTGACTTGTTGTATGAAAATAACTAATCTTACAGCTCCCCTAGTATATCTTATTGTAACTAATTTTGCATAGTTAAGATACTCACCTGTTTTTAACTTTTAAATATACATAGTAATTATCACAAGGACGCCACTGGAAATAAGTCACTGTCTGACATTTTTGGGTTATTTGCGACTGACTTTTTGGGTTGTCTTCGGTTATCTACACATATGCTACTATGTATGATACTCTGTATAACTCTGTATACCTGAATAAACTTAGTTACCTATGTTATCTCTGACTCTATCACAAACTTTAAAAGGCACCTGAATAAACTTAGTTACCTATGTTATCTCTGACTCTATCACAAACTTTAAAAGGCAAAACAATCCTGGATCGTATCTAGAAAGTTGCAAGACTCAAGATTCCATGTTAAATTGCTCCAATCAATTTGGTTGAAGATAAAATTTCCCATCAAAACAATATCTTCACATGCAGTGGACGATAGTCAAAAAACATTACCTAGGCAGTCTTCAAGCTGGCACTGGACAAGCACCTAAAGTCGGTTCCTGACCAGCCGGGCTGTGGCTCGTACGTTGGTTTGCGTGCAGCCAGCAGTAACAGCCTGGTTGATCAGGCTCTGATCCACCAGGAGGCCTGGTCACAGACCGGGCCGCGGGGGTGTTGACCCCCGGAACTCTCTCCAGGTAAACTCCAGGTAGGCACACATTGGGTTCAGGGACTGGGCCCCTAATTTTTTTTATAGCTAAATAAGTTAAAGTGAAAATGAACTGTATATACATTTAAGATCTGGTTACAATTTTATTTATTTATTTTATGTCTTTGCTAACAGTACATTGAGATTTTATATTTACAATAGTGACTCTCTGACCGCGGGTTCAATCCCGCCCGTGGTATGGTTTATTTACAATAATGGGTTGCAGTGCAAAGAGAGCCTCTATTATGCCTAGGCATTATGAGCCAACTTAACATTATTGGCTTACAGTCTACTTAATACTAAGGAGTGTATCATAGTTGTACAGTAGAATAGTAATTATTTCATAGTTGTACAGTAGATTATTAATTATAAATGAATCAAAATTTGTATAATACAAAGATATATTTTTATTCGAAAATGCTTTTTGTGAAAACAATGATTCAATTATATTCCTGTCAACAATGGATAAAAGGTTCAATGTGATTGTTTCAGTTATGATGTGGGAGTACATATGTGAGTAAGTGTGTACTGAGTATTTAGCATTTAGTCTACGGTGATCAAGTGGGTTTTGAGAAGAGTCTTAAATTGATTTTCAGATTGGGTTACTTTAATATCTTATGGTAATGAATTCCATATTTTAGGGCCCTTTATGTGCATAGAGTTTTTACACAGTGTGATACTGACACGAGGTATATCAAAAAGAGATCTGTGTCTTGTGTCATGGTCATGTGTCCTGTTTAAGTTGGTGAGAAGTTTGAGTGGAGGGTTTATATTTGCGTTTATTGTTCTGTGTATGTAGTAGGCACATGAATAAGTATGGATGTTCTTAATGGTGAGCAGATTCAGACTTTTGAAAATTGGTGGAGTATGCTGGCGGGAGTGGGAATTTGTTATCATTCTTACTGCTGCCTTTTGCTGGATTATGAGGAGTTTTAGGTGATTGGATGTTGTTGATCCCCATGCACAAATTCCGTAGGTAAGATAAGGATATATGAGTGTTTATGAAGATATATATTGGGCGTGCTGAGGTAGTAAGTGTGTATAGTCATACTTAACCTATAAGCATGACATGCTTCCACTACCTCTGCTGCACCATCTGTCTATACTATATATGCCATTTTTCCGTGCATATGCTGTATAGTAAGGGCTAGGAACAATGAGTCTTAACCATAATTTTTAGTGGGATGGACAGGCAAGCCAGTGGAAGATTTAGATTTTGATTTTGCCACCGAAGTGGCTAGTTTATTGTGCACCCCATATACATCCTGTGGAGGGTAGTGCAAGAGCATATGGATACACAAAAGGCCCAGGAACTAGGCCACAAAAGAGTTAACAGGTGTACATATGGATTTATATCTACATACTTACAGTTCACTTATCTGTTACCAGGAAATTTAGGAAATTTGCTTAGATATCTGGTATCTTATTTTCATTAACAAGTTATCTTGACATGTCACATAGGTTATTATACGGTCTGTCTCTGTATTCCTCAATGAGTGGACAATTAAGCACATAGTGGAAGTCCTGGATCAGATGACCAAAAGTTCCATCCGTGGGTCATCATAAGACCAGCGTCAGGAGACACTTGTCATGTTTCCTCACTAACCTAACAATATGCTGAACTTTTTATAAAGACTGATGGACTAACACATTGACTCCAGACTGAGGGACTGATTACCTCAAACTCTCCTCATTTTCCGCCACTTTCTGTGTTATTCTTAATAATAATAATAATAATAATAATAATAATAATAATAATAATAATAATAATAATAATAATAATAATAATAATAATAATAATAAATGCTTCTACAGGTACATGATAAAATAAACTTACCTGCCATCAATGACAATATATATATATAAACCCCTGGTTATAGAGAGCATTTCCGACTGAAGAAGCCACTGGCTGATGAAATGTTTCCAGAATAAAGAGACCAAATGTTGTAATAAAGTTGGTAGAATTACCGACAATATGTAAAGTAAAAGGACACAAGCCCATGATGACACTCTTCAGGTCACTTGTTCTATCTAGGCTGGAATATTGCTGCACTCTAACAGCACCTTTCAAGGCAGGTGAAATTGCCGACCTAGAAAATGTACAGAGAACTTTCACGGCGCGCATAACGGAGATAAAACACCTCAATTACTGGGAGCGCTTGAGGTTTCTAAACCTGTATTCCCTGGAACGCAGGAGGGAGAGATACATGATTATATACACCTGGAAAATCCTAGAGGGACTAGTACCAAACTTGCACACGAAAATCACTCACTACGAAAGCAAAAGACTTGGCAGACGATGCACCATCCCCCCAATGAAAAGCAGGGGTGTCACTAGCACGTTAAGAGACCATACAATAAGTGTCAGGGGCCCGAGACTGTTCAACTGCCTCCCAGCACACATAAGGGGGATTACCAACAGACCCCTGGCAGTCTTCAAGCTGGCACTGGACAAGCACCTAAAGACAGTTCCTGATCAGCCGGGCTGTGGCTCGTACGTTGGTTTGCGTGCAGCCAGCAGCAACAGCCTGGTTGATCAGGCGCTGATCCACCAGGAGGCCTGGTCACAGACCGGGCCGCGGGGGCGTTGACCCCCGAAACTCTCTCCAGGTAAACTCCAGGTAATGTGACATTTATTGTGGCAACGTTTCGCTCTCCAGGAGCTTTATCAAGCCATTACGTAATGGCTTGATAAAGCTCCTGGAGAGCGAAACGTTGCCACAATAAATGTCACATTAGTTGCACTTGTGTCCTTTTACTTTACAGACCAAATGTTACAAAAGTGTCTCATATATCAACTTGTGGGTTTTCTAAACCATTTCCAGAAAATTTTAGGAATAGATGAGTATATGTTGAGTATATATTGTTGAGTGTATTTTGTTGAGTGTATATTGTTGAGTATATATTGTTGAGTATATATTGTTGAGTGTATTTTGTTGAGTGTATATTGTTGAGTGTATGTTGTTGAGTGTATGTTGTTGAGTGTATATTGTTCAGTGTATATTGTTGTGTGCATATTGTTGAGTGTATGTTGTTGAGTGTATATTGTTGAGTATATATTGTTGAGTGTATGTTGTTCAGTGTATATTGTTGTGTGCATGTTGTTGAGTATATATAGTTGAGTGTATGTTGTTGAGTGTATATTGTTGAGTGTATGTTGTTGAGTGTATATTGTTAAGATAAGATAAGATTTCGTTCGGATTTTTAACCCCGGAGGGTTAGCCACCCAGGATAACCCAAGAAAGTCAGTGCGTCATCGAGGACTGTCTAACTTATTTCCATTGGGGTCCTTAATCTTGTCCCCCAGGATGCGACCCACACCAGTCGACTAACACCCAGGTACCTATTTGCTGCTAGGTGAACAGGACAACAGGTGTAAGGAAACGTGTCGAAATGTTTCCACCCGCCGGGAATCAAACCCGGGCCCTCCGTGTGTGAAGCGGGAGCTTTAGCCACCAGGCCACCGTGTATATTGAGTACATATATTTTTGAGTGTACATTGTTGAGTGTATATTGTTGAGTGTATGTTGTTGAGTGTATATTGTCGAGTGTATATTGTTAAGTGTATATTGTTGAGTATATATTGTTGAGTATATACTGTTGAGTGTATATTGTTGAGTGTATGTTGTTGAGTGCATATTGTTGAGTGTATATTGTTGAGTGTATATTGTTGAGTGTATGCTGTTGAGTGTATATTGTTGAGTGTATATTGTTGAGTGTATATTGTTGAGTATATATTGTTGAGTGTATATAGTTGAGTGTATGTTGTTGAGTGTATATAGTTGAGTGTGTGTTGTTGAGTGTATATAGTTGAGTGTATGTTGTTGAGTGTATATAGTTGAGTGTATGTTGTTGAGCGTATATAGTTGAGTGTATGTTATTGAGTGTATATAGTTGAGTGTATGTTGTTGAGTGTATATAGTTGAGTGTATGTTGTTGAGTGTATATAGTTGAGTGTATGTTGTTGAGTGTATGTTGTTGAGTGTATATAGTTGAGTGTATGTTGTTGAGTGTATGTTGTTGAGTGTATATAGTTGAGTGTATGTTGTTGAGCGTATATAGTTGAGTGTATGTTATTGAGTGTATATAGTTGAGTGTATGTTGTTGAGTGTATATAGTTGAGTGTATGTTGTTGAGTGTATATAGTTGAGTGTATGTTGTTGAGTGTATATAGTTGAGTGTATGTTGTTGAGTGTATATAGTTGAGTGTATGTTGTTGAGTGTATATAGTTGAGTGTATGTTGTTGAGTGTATATAGTTGAGTGTATGTTGTTGAGTGCAGTTTTCTGTGTTGGTACACGTGTGTCACTCTCTGCTGTCCTTGTATCACCGCTCAAAAATGTTTCTTCTTGTTTTGTAGTTGTCTTCTGGCACTTCCAACATAATTATGACTGCTGACATGGACACTGAGGAGTCTGGTGTTCTGGTCATCATCAAGAGGCGTCTTACACGTGAGTTAATATATATTCTTGCCAGTAAAGATCTCTGGGTCTGGTTAATGCTTGTTGGTCCTTCACTTGATTTTCTCTTATAATGGAATGATTTAGCAGACCTGTGAATATTAATATCCCATTAATAATGGATTTAAGACATTATTTCCGACATAATGACTCTGCTGCTCGATTTTTTTTTGTATATGACATGGGTAAAATTTTTTACCCATGACGGGTAAAAATTCATGGGGAGTACCTTGATGATATGGATAGCTCCTGATCCAAGGAATATAGGCGTTACCATACCTTTACCTTAAATCTAGTCGCCTCCCTTTTTCCAGACACGGGCCCCTGTGGGTATAGCGCTTCCCCATGAATACAGTACAAGTCCTATTTTCTTTAATAAATTTATGAGCCAGGCTGATACCATCAAGGTGGCTGTGCCTCGATGATCTCTTTGTATAAGGAAGTGGAGCTTCCTTCTTTTTCCTTGGATCAAACTTGTTCTCCTCCAATTACAAGGATCCCAGTGGAAATAAGTCGCCTTGACTTTTTATTTTGGGTTATCCAAGGTAATTTACTCGTGTTACTGTGTATGATAATTGTACTTATGTACAATTATCATACATAGCACGAGTATCAGTACATGAATAAACTTGATGTGTGGCCCATGTGGGTTTATGCTTCCCAAGGAATGTAGTATTATAATGGTCTAGGCTAATTTAATTTTTAATGTGATGGTTCACACCTCTCCAACACTCATGAATAACACTGTTCATAGTAATTATGCAAATATCATAATGTGCAATACATAAGCCAGCCCGTAATGCTATGCATATAAGTGGCTTTGGCATGCTGCTCTTACCTGTATTTTTTTTTGTACCTCTGTATGTATGCTAAATATACCCAGAATATCTACATGTCCAGTGAACTATTAAACAAATTTATGTCATGGCTTCTGACACCAGTTGTAGATTTTCCTTAATAAAAATTTGTATATTGTACTTATTTTTATATATTAATGTTGATTTTGCTGAAATGCCCTGTCATGTTAGTGGCTTTTTTAATACTTAACAACACTTGATAAAATGCAAATCACACATTGTAACCTTTGCAAAGAAATAAAATTTGTTTTGTATGAGGTGTCACTGTCGCTGAGAATAAAACACTAGCATATATACAGTACTTTGTATCCTGTTATTTAGGCTAAAATACAAACTAGCTTACACGTCACAGACTATATTCTGATGAGTAATTTCGAAGGCTTTTCCACTCTTCCAGACCAATCTTGTTGAGTGCCTGTTAAACCTGTGATGGGCCCCTGGCCCCCATACCCATCACAGTCCAGTTGATATGACACTGCAGAGGTAGTGCTCCAGTTTCCTTATGAACACTTGCGTACTTGTTCCAGAAATTTTTCTGATATTTGCTGAGTCAGTTTCAGGGGCCACTGCTCCCATGGCCTGGTCCCAGAGTAGCCCTCCTGCTTGCTGGCTTGATCGACTAGGAAGTTGGTGCCCACTGCATGTAGTCCAATGTATACACCACAATTGTTCAGGAACTGGCTGCAGGACCTTGTAAAGTTTTCCTTGATGTTAGCCAGGGGGTTTGTTGATAATTCCCCTAATGCCTGAAGGGAGTGCATTGAAGTCTTGGTAGCAAGAAGTATCTTGGGTTGTGGATATTTGTGCGGATTCCTATTTTGTGTATATAGTGCCCTCACACACTGAGTGACCGTGGTTCAATTCCCTACACGGGTGGAAACGTTGGGCATGTTTCCTTACATACACCTACTGTCCCTGTTCACTTAGCAGTAAGTAGGTACCTGGGTGTTAATCAAGTGTTGTGGGTAGTATCTTGGGAGACAAGATTGAAGGACACCAGTGGAAATAAGACAGACGGTCCTTGATGGTGCACTAACCCTCCCTACCCTGGGTTAAAAATCCAACTAAATCTTATTTCTTATTTCTCTTGTATTTTTCACTATGGTAGAGTGTAGCTTTGGGACTTTGTCTACCAGTACAATATCATGTAAAAATAAACACACAAGCAGTATAATGTGATCCTTTATTGACAACGTTTTGCCCACACAGTAGCCTTTATCAAGTCACAAACAGATCTTGATAAAGCCCACTGTGTGGGCGAAACATTGTCAATAAAGATCACATTATACTGCTTCTGTGTTTACTTTTCCATTGTGTTGGTATTTTTTACCATTTATTTCCACAATATCATCATGTAGGTGTATCACTCTCCTCTCCAGAGAGTACATTTCAAGTACGTACTTTGAGGCATGTCCAGTAGTTTAAATGCTGTATTGAGTATGTGTGTAATAAACAGTCTCTTTACATTTTCCAGGTCTGATCTCTCTCCCTCTCTCTTTCCATGAATGGAACTGTGAGCACAAAACAATATTAGAGACAAGAGAACACAAAGAATTTGATTTACATTCATGTATACATGATAGATAGTATTTTCTCATTAAGGTTGATACATTTAACATGCAGTACATAATACAATATGTTTCAGCCAACATATAGTAGATTGATCATATGATGTCAATAAGACTTGTACATTTAGCCATACATATTGTAGAGTATATGATGTCTTTACAACTCATTATCATACGTACTGCATATACGAGAAGTTGTACATGCATATAGGAGGGCTCTGCAGGCTACTGCTGTAAGTGAATTGTACCTTTTTTCACTTTCAAATGTGTATAACTGCCTGATAACATGTTTATACTATCATATATTAAGTGATATAGCTAGGCCTAAAAAATGCTTATACAGTATACACATTACTTACTTTAAAATATTTTTGTCCTTAGCTTATAGTGAGCAGTGAATATATTGCAGGTTTATTGCAGATTTATGTCCATAGGCTGTATGACTGTACTACATATATACAGTGGAACCTCAGTTGTCGAATGGACTAGTTGTCGAATAAATCGGTTTTCGAACCGATTTGTTCGATTTGATTTTCATACGTGATCTTGGTTGTCGACTGACAACGCTTGGATCACGTGATTACCAGAGTCCATAGTGTGGGTCTCAGTCAGTATAGCGACTAATACATGTGCTTTGAACACTTCTTGAGTTCTTGCTATGCACCTTGTGAAGGTAATGAAATGAAAAGTATTAAATCTGATGGAAAACTTAGGGAATAATGCTATCAAGAAGTTAGCAGTCTCAGCGATATTTACACATCATCAATTTTCCCACTTTGAGCTTATTTGGGACCAATTCTATTGTTCCAGTTGACCAAACTCATAGATATTTTGCTAGAACTCCTTCTATTCTATCGATTGAGTACAAGAAACTGCCTATTTACCTATTTCAACTACCCAATAAAATGATCTGAAATTACTAATTTGGCCAATTTCACACAAAATTCAAGAGATGCCAGTTTCAAAATAGGGCCCAGCATAAACAATGCAGATATTCCAGGCACTAAAATAACATTTTATCTGTTCATTAGTCACATCTCCAGGCCCCTCTTATATTATGCTTGCTTTTCATTTTGAATTTTTGCATTCGTATTTTTGCATTTTGTATTTGTTCTGCAAATAGTTTTGTTTACGTAATGTATAGTTCATATAATAAATAAATAATCTAATAATGGGAGTAGTTAGTGTATACTGTACCTTCTTTATGCTAATATTTTTTTATTTGCTTCAGCTCTTGTACAGGTTGAGGTAGAGCCGGTTGGAAGGTGGTTCCATGGATATGAAGCTCGGAGGCTGCGTGGCCACCTTATCTCCTCTGCTGGGGAAAGTGAAGAAGAAAGTGAAGGAGAGGAAGGCCCAGAAGTAGAGATTGAGGATGATATTCAGTATCTTAGATCACTCAATCCTGCAGATTGGAAGGTAAATACATGTATACTATGAAATTTTATTTAATTTTGGCATTGTGGTTTTTATGACTGTCTTAAGTAGTGGACCCATGTATGCAATATGCAGGTTCACTACATGTGAATTCACTTTTATGCAGTGCCCCATTTCCAGCAGTAATTCCCTACAGTGGATATAAATTCACTGTTATTCGATCACTTCCATCCACAAAACTTAATGGAGATTCTTATAATAAAGAATTAAGTGTTGATGACTTGACTGAGATTACTACAGTTGCTATAAGCTTGGACTTCATGTATGTACCACATACATATAGCCAGGAGCACCTGTACTTAGTCGTAACTACAGGAGCAGAGCTACGGTTATGGTGCCCTCTCATCAGTGTTTGATGTATCATAATATTATAGTATTTTTAAATTTCCAGTGGTTGTTGCACTTGCTACCTATTCATGTATTCCATTCATATGTATTACCACTTTGAAAAAGTTCCTATATCCTTTTGTTACCTCTTTCTTCTTAGTTTATATCTGTGGCCTCTTTTTTTTTTTTTTTTTTTTTTTTTTTTTGTATCCTCTTTTGACTTTGTATGTGAATGTTGTGTCTCTTCTTTTCTCCCAGTGAGGGTATTTTTTTTTTTTTTTTTTTTTTTTTTTTTAGGAGCACATTTGTGTCTTTAGATTTGAGCCATGAGCAGGTGGTTCAGAACTCAAGTATTAGTGCCGTTTGCTTGTTTCTGAAAGACCTGATATTAACTCTGATATATGTAAAAATACTGGGCTTGTTTTCTTTACACCTATTGCCCCTGTTCATGTAACAGTCAGTAGGTACCTGAGTGTTAGCCAATTGCTGCGAGTTGCATACTGAGGTAGAGGATCAGAGGACCCCAATGGAAATAAGCCAGACATAGTGGCTTTCTTGGCTTATTTTAAACTGAATAATACCCTCTCATCTTTTTCTAGAATGCAAGACATCACAATTGAGTATATATAATCTTCCTGTGACATGTCCCCTCTCTCTGACACATTTAATATTTTGTTACAATTTATATTAGAGTGGCTGTTTATCAATTCTCCCATTTCCCGTACAGTGGTACCTCAGTATTTGAACTTAATCTGTTCCAGGAGGCTGTTCGAATAGTGAGTTGTATGAATAATGAATCAGTTTTTCCCATAAGAAATTATGTAAATTGGATTAATCTGTTCCAGACTTACAAAAGTTTTTCCATAACTTCAGTTATCTGTGATTTTTTCACAGCAATAATTTTTACTCCTTTTGCCCCGTCAGCCCCTTTTATTGCCTCTTTATTTTTTAGTATGGATGACATGGTGGATTTCACCACACCTTTTAGGTTTGTTTGGATCACTACTCTTTTTTAGGGCCATGATTACTTATTTTCAATGAAAATATTTAAAAAAAAAGTTGGGCAGATATAGAGCTGTACAAATATAAGGACATGTGAATGTTGGGGTTCCACTGTACATGGGCTTCATTTATAACTGACTGGGTACCTACTCGGACCTTGGGAAAATTTTAGGGTCTACTTTAAATATTTGCCAGTTAAATCTATTGCATACACTGAATAGGATGAGCGAGGAGTTTTAAATACTTTGATCTATCTACTCTGTATGGCACATTCCCACTGCACCACTGACTTAAAAAAAAAAAATAGAACGTTTACTTAATTTAACAATGATCATTGTTGCCCCAGATCACTTTTTATAGGACTTGCAGTGCTAACTTGTATGTCATGTTCATATAATCATACATTTTATCATCACTTAATTTTTTTAGTATGTGACAGTGATGACATGCTTTCCTTACACCTTTGGGGGTTTGAAAATCAAGACCCCATGCAATTCATTCCTTTTGCTGTTAAATTCAGGATTTTTTTTTTTTTTTTTTTTTCAACAAGTCGGCCATCTCCCACCGAGGCAGGGTGACCCAAAAAAAAAAGAAAGAAAATCCCCAAAAAGAAAATACTTTCATCATCATTCAACACTTTCACCACACTCGCACATTATCACTGTTTTTGCAGAGGTGCTCAGAATACAACAGTCTAGAAGCATACACATAAAGATACACAACATATCCCTCCATACTGCCAATATCCCAAACCCCTCCTTTAAAGTGCAGGCATTGTACTTCCCATTTCCAGGACTCAAGTCCGACTATATGAAAATAACCGGTTTCCCTGAATCCCTTCACTAAATATTACCCTGCTCACACTCCAACAGATCGTCAGGTCCCAAGTACCATTCGTCTCCATTCACTCCTATCTAACACGCTCACGCACGCTTGCTGGAAGTCCAAGCCCCTTGCCCACAAAACCTCCTTTACCCCCTCTCTCCAACCCTTTCGAGGACGACCCCTACCCCGCCTTCCTTCCCCTATAGATTTATATGCTTTCCATGTCATTCTACTTTGATCCATTCTCTCTAAATGATAGTGTGAAATTTTTATATCTATTGGCATGACTAAGGGTCATATTAATAAAAGTTACCTGTCACTTGCATTGACATTGAAAGTTCTGTAAAACATTTTTTTTTTGTCAGTGGGGTCTTTACAATCATTGGAGTAAATAAAAGTTCTTTCAAGTCTTTGACAAAGTGGAAATGTGCTCGCCTAACCCCTGTGGGGTCTGTAGGTTGAGGTCAGTGCAGTTTTTCTTTCTCGTATTGTTACATTCATGATGGTGTAAAAACCTTAGTAAAGCTTTAGTCTTTTAATATGTTTTTGTCACTATCTTACATAATACAGCTGTAAATGTATCTGCATGACCTGTTAAATGATATTATTCCCCATTCCTAATTTTTTTTTTTTTTTTACAGTTATACTGTATATACTGTGATAAATGATGTGCTCATTAATTCTGTAATATCTAAGTTTCCTTGTGATATGGCATTAAGATGTACTCTGCAGGATCAGGATCACTATGCTGTGTTGGGGCTTAAGAAGTATCGATATAAAGCGTCAGATGAAGACATTAAAAGAGCGTGTGAGTACTCTATATCATGTTGATCCATCAATTGTAGTACTGCTGATGAAATATTTGGCAAAGTTCTATGGCTTAAAATTTAAGTTTGGTGATTAAAGTTTGCTCATTTATTGTTGCTACAGTTTCTAGGCTTTATTAGGAACGAGAAGTTTTGGGAATTTATACAGTACCATAAAACTGTAGGATGCTTTTATTTATTTATTTATTTATTTTATGTCTTTGCAAACAGTACTTTGAGATTTTGTATTTACAATAGTGGGTTGCAATGCAAAGAGAGCCTCTATTATTCCTAGGCATTATGGGCCAACTTAACATTATTGGCTTACAGTCTACTTAACCCGTAAACGGTCCAAGCAGATCTACGTTCACGTGTGTAGTGCTACAAAAGTAGATCTACGTTTTTTTTACATATTTTCAAATGTAAAAAAAAAAAAAATCTACTTTTTTTACATGCTTTCAAATGTTGAAAAAACGTGTATGTACGTTTGGAACATTTATGGGTTAACACTAAGGAGTATATCATAGTTGTACAGTAGGATAGTAATTATTTCATAGTTGTACAGTAGAATATTAATTATAAATGAATCAAAATTTGTATAATACAAAGATATATTTTTATTCGAAAATGCTTTTTGTGAAAACAATGATTCAATTATATTCCTGTCAACAATGGATAAAAGGTTCAAAGTGATTGTTTCAGTTATGATGTGGGAGTACATAGGTGAGTAAGTGTGTACTGAGTATTTAGCATTTAGTCTACGGTGATTAAGTGGCTTTTGAGAAGTCTTAAACTGATTTTCGGACTGGGTTACTTTAATATGTAAACTACTGTTTTGCTAAATTATTCACTCGCTCCCAGATCGCATGATGGTCCTCCGTCATCACCCTGATAAAAGAAGAGGAGCAGGGGAAGAGATTCGGGATGATGATGACTATTTCACCTGCATTACTAAAGCCTATGAGATTCTGGGTGATCCAGTTAAGCGTCGCTCATGGGACTCCATTGATTCGGAGTTTGATGATGATGTTCCTGTAGTAAATAATTACAATAAAACTAATTTCTTTGAGGTGTGTATAATCTGTATTGTGTTCTGAAGATTAGCATAAATGGTTGATTAACATGGTAGTTATGTAATAAACATGCTACATAACATATAAACATGATACATACACTTTTTTATGTTTAAAAAGTCAGCCGTCTCCCACCGAGGCAGGGTGACCCAAAAAGAAAGAAAATCCCCAAAAAGAAAATGCTTTCATCATCATTCAACTCTTTCACCTCATTTACACATAATCACAGTTTTTGCAGAGGTGCTCAGAACACAACAGCTTAGAAGTATATACGTATAAAGATACGCAACATATCCCTCTAAACTGCCAATATACCGAACCCCTCCTTTAGAGTGCAGGCATTGTACTTCCCATTTCCAGGACTCAAGTCCGGCTATATAAAAATAACCGGTTTCCCTGAATCGCTTCACTAAATGTTACCCTGCTCACACTCCAACAGATCGTCAGGTCCCAAATACCATTCGTCTCCATTCACTCCTATCTAACATGCTCATGCACTCTTGCTGGAAGTCCAAGCCCCTCGCCCACAAAACCTCCTTTACCCTGTCCCTCCAACCTTTTCGAGGACGACCCCTACCCAACCTTCCTTCCCCTACAGATTTATACGCTCTGCAAGTCATTCTACTTTGATCCGTTCTCTCTAAATGACCAATCCACCTCAACAACCCCTCTTCAGCCCTCTGACTAATACTTTTATTAACTCCACGCCTTCTCCTAATTTCCACACTCCAAATTCTCTGAATAATATTTACACCACACATTGCCCTTAGACAGGACATCTCCACTGCTTCCAGCCACCTCCTCACTGCAGCATCTAGGTCCCTTTACAACCGAAGCTTCACACCCATATAAGAGTGTTGGTACCACTATACTTTCATACATTCCCATCTTTGCCTCCATGGATAACGTTTTTTGTCTCCACAAATACCTCAACACACCACTCGCCTTTTTTTTCTTCAGTTCTGTGATTAACCTCATCTTTCATAAAACCATCTGCCGACACGTCAACTCCCCAATATCTAAAAACACTCGCTTCTTCCATACTCCCTCTCTCCAATGTGATATCTAATTTTTCTTTATTTAAATCGTTGGATACCCTCATCACTTTACTCTTATCTATGTTCACTTTCAACTTTGTACCTTTACACACCCTCCCAAACTCATCCACTAACCTTTGCAACTTTTCTTTAGAATTTCCCATAAGCATGGTATCATCAGTAAGACGTAACTGTGTCAACTCCCATTTTGTACTTGATTCCCCATAATTTAATCCTACCCCTCTCCCCAACACCCTACCATTTACTTTTTTCACAACCCCATCTATAAATATATTAACCCTTTCAGGGTCCAGAGGCCAAATTTCAAAGTGTGCACCAGGGTCCAAGAATTTTCAAAAAATAATTGTTATTTTTTCTTATGAAATGGTAGAGAATCTTTTTCTGAATGTAATAAAACAAAAGTACTAAATTTGATGGAAAATTGACAAAATTATGCTCTCCTGAATTTTGATAGTGTCGGCGATATTTACACATTGGCGATTTTGCCAACTTTGACTCCCATTTTAGGCCAATTACAGTATTCCAGTCAACCAAATTCTTAGTTATTTCACTAGTATTTCTTCTATTCTATCAATTGAGCACAAGAAATTGCCAAGTCAACTGTTTCAACAACAAAATAAAGTGACCAGAAATTGGTAATTTGGCCAATTTAATGCAAAGTTCAAAATATTCCAATTTCAAAATAGGGTCCGGAATAAACAATGCAGGCATTCCTGGCACTAAACTAACATTTCCTCTGTTCATTAGTTACATTTTCAGGCTTTACAAATGGATTCCATTTTTATTTTTTATTCACATAATGAATTTTTATTCAAACCAAAAAATAGAAGAATTACTGTTATGCAACACTGTAATAATTGTATAAATAATATCAGCACATTTGTGAACGTATATTAGACCCACCAGCTGGCGTGTATTAGATGTGTGAGGTCATTTGTTTACTCTTGAACATTGGCAAAAATTTAACATTTCTGCTACTTTGAGCTCAGTTTCAAGCCATTTCCAATCAAAATCATGTCTATTTCTGTAGTATATCTTCCATTCTATCAAATGAGACCAAGAAATTACAAATACAACTATAAAAAACATATGGAAAAACACTGCAAAGTCGCTGTTTTAATCGAAAATTATGGTCTGTTTTTTTTCTCTCATTATGCACTGTGTGCTGCAGGATTTGTTTTATGTGGTGCACACATACCACATAGATGTATTCTCTCGTATCTAGGCCCAAATTTACTGCTCACAGCTTATCAGAGTGAGCTGAGCTCATGGCGTAGATCTACGGTTTGGACCCTGAACGTAAAGCCGTAGATCTATGGCACGGACCCTGAAAGGGTTAAACAACCATGGTGACATTACACATCCCTGTCTATGACCTTCTTTTACCGGGAAGTAGTCTCCCTCTCTCCTGCACACCCTAACCTGAGCCTCACTATCCTCATAAAAAAACTTTACAGCATTTAGTAACTTGGAACTTGGAACATCAGCCACATTGTTCCCCTTATCCACTCTATCATATGCCTTTTTTAAATCCATAAATGCAATGAAAACTTCCCTACCTTTATCTAAATACTGTTCACATATATGCTTTAATGTAATTATTGTAATAATAATACACATAATTACCATCTTGGTATTGATCACTTTCAACTGAAATCAGTTGTTTTGGATTAATATTGCTTGAGGAAATTGCTCAAAAGGTTTGGAAGCTTAAGTGCAAGCAGAAATAAACAGGGAACTATCACGTTTGACAGATTTCACAGCTGCTTTTGCGCTCATAGCCAGCATAGTACAATTATTTTCATCTCGGTAAGTAAAACCAAACTAAAATATTAGCATAAAACATTCCACTGTAAATACCATTATTTAATGTTGGTGGAAGGTCATAAATATGTCTGCTGTTGTATAGTGGCGGCTATGTTAGGAAATGACTTGTACACTATTACTGAGATCTGGTTACTGGAAATAAGGCAAGTAATTACAGTATATATATACATACTTATATATAGGGTTAGTGAAAATATGCGAGGATATAGATTTTGTTTTTTAAGTTGAAAATTGTCCTATTCTTACTTTTCAGGTATTTACTCCCGTATTAGAACGTAATGCTCGGTGGTCAACTAGAAAACACGTTCCAGGTCTTGGTAAGCCTGATGACCCAAAACAAAAAGTAAGTACTTATCAAAAAAAATATTTATTTTTACATTTGCTATTTTCCATAAAAGTAGAGATGCCCACAAGAAAACACATTTACTTGCCCACAAGAAAAGATATTTTTTGACATATCATTTCCAGTGACCTTCCAAACTACAAGATCACCACTCTTGTAGAGTACAGGCACCGTACTTCCCACTTCTTTAACTCTTATTTCGACTAATCAGTTTCCATAAGTGCTCTATGTACTTGAGCATCTTTATTGCTAAAACATTTTGCCTGTGCATCTCCTCCACTTGAGTCTCACTTTAATTCAATTCCTTTGCTCCTTTTGACTAAATTCTTGGCTGTTTCACTAGTATGCCTTCTTTTAAGGATTATGGAGTTTATTTCCTTGCATAGTTTACAATGTGTAATTACAATATTGATTGGCTAAATGCAAAGAAAACCACTATCATGCAGATGCATTTCAGGCAGACTAAACCTAATGCTTTACAAACTACTTAATACTAGACATATATATCATAGTTGGTTTGAGTTAAACATTGTTTTTTATACATCAACAGATGCAGTAGTGGTTTAGCAGTAATTAACAAGTAGTTGAATAACAGGTTACATTATTATACTTATTTAACACATTATACATAATGAGATTGAGGCCATATTAGTTTTGAAATAAACATAAAATATGGCAATTTTTGAATAGTGTTTGAGTGGTGTTTTATAGTGTTTGTGTTGTTAATTTTGAGAGATGAGGTGGTTTCTAAGTGGAGCCTTAAATTGGTGTGCAGGCAGCTGGGGCCCTTTTGTATTTTCAGGCAATGAATTCCAGATCTTAGGTGCCTTTATATGCATAGCATTTTTGCATAGGGAGAGATGGACACAAGGGCTATCAAAGAGTGTTTTGTGTCTTGTGTTATGCAAGTGCATTCTATTGTAGTTGTCAAGGAGGAGTTAGAGAGGAGGGTTTATATTGGAGAAGAGTGTTCTGTGTATGTATTAGGCACAATAATGTAAGTGAATATTTTGTATGTTCAGCAGGTTCAAGTTCTTAAATAGTGGTGGGGTGTGTTGCTTGGTGCAGGAGTTTAGAACATAAGAATGTAGGAACAATGAAGAAGGCCTACTGGCCCATACGAGGCAGGTCCTTATCAAAACGATCTCTACCTAAAGCTACCCAAGAAATAACTCCCGTACCCCATGACACCAATCAAACCCAGCCCCTCCCACTCATATATTTGTCCAGTCTCTTCTTAAAGCTACCCAAGGTCCTAGCCTCTATCACCCCACTGGGAAGACTGTTCCACGCATCTACAACTCTGTTAGAAAACCAGTACTTACCTATGTCCTTTCTAAATCTAAATTTATCCAACTTATATCCATTATTTCTGGTTCTTACCTGGTTCGACACCCTCAGTACTTTATTAATATCTCCCTTGTTTATGCCTGTCATCCACTTATACACTTCAATGATATCTCCTCTCATTCTATGTCTCTCCAGAGAGTGGAGATTTAAGGCTTTAAGTCTATCTTTATACGTGAGGTTCCTTACACAGTAAATCATTTTAGTCATTCTTCTCTGTATGTTCTCTAATGAGTCTATATCCATCCTGTAGTAAGGGGACCAAAACTGAGCAGCATAATCTAAATGAGGCCTCACTAGTGATGTATAGAGCTGCAAAATAACTTTTGGACTTCTGTTACTTACACTTCTTGAGATAAATCCAAGTAATCTGTTGGCCTTGTTGCGCACACTAAGGCACTGCTGTCTTGGCTTTAGATTTCTGCTTACCATGACTCCCAAGTCTTTTTCACATTCTGTATGATCAAGCTCTATTTCACCTAGATTATAGCTTCGAGGGTTATTTTCATTACCAAGGGCAAGTACCTTACACTTATCCACATTGAACCTCATCTGCCACTTTTCAGACCAAGACATTAATTTGTCCAAATCCTCCTGGAGTTCATTGACGTCCTCCTCAGAGTGAATTATACGGCCTATCTTTGTATCATCAGCAAACTTACTCATGTCACTCGTAATCCCTTCATCAAGGTCATTAATGTAAATTATGAACAAGAGAGGGCCTAAAACTGATCCTCGTGGAACGCCACTAGTGACTAATCCCCATTCAGATTTCACTCCATTAATGGTAACTCTCTGCTTTCTATTGGTAAGCCATGCCTCAATCCATGCTAGAACTTTACCTCCTATACCATGAGCTGCCACTTTTCTTAAGAGTCTCTTGTGAGGTACTCTATCGAAGGCTTTACTAAAATCCAAATAAACAATATCATATTCCTTATCACTGTCAACTGCCTCAAATGTTCTATTGAAGAACGTCAGTAAGTTTGCCAGGCTTCTATTGAAGAACATCAGTAAGTTTGTCAGCAGCAGCTTTCTGTTGCGTAATTAAGGGTTTAAGGTGATTTGCTGTGGTTGAACCCCCATGTACAAATACCATATATGAGGTAAGGGTAGATGAGAAAGTTCTAATGATTGAGCACAAGAAACTGTCCATTCTACTATCACTACTATATAAAGTCCATAGAAGTTGTTAATTTGGTCAATTTTACACAAAATTCTAAATATTCAAATTTATAAACAAGTTCAAAATAAACAATGTAAACAGTCCATGCACTAAAACAACAGTTTCCTCTGTTCATTAACCATGTCCCCAGACCTCTCTTATATTACACTTGTCTTCCATTTTGAATTCATAATCACAAAAAATAGATAATTTACTGTATTGGATAAAAATAAAACCAGGAATGATTAGTCATGGTTTATGGTGTTCCACTAATTGAATCAGACGTATTAAAAACCCATAAAACAGATTGGGGGTGGAGGGGATCCTTACATGTCTTCGGGAAAATCTGCCGAAATTGAATATTTTTTCAACTTTGAGCCCAGTTTCAAGCTACTTCCAGTCCTGGAGACAACCAAAACCATCTCTTTCTGTATGTAGTATGTCTTCCATTCTGTTAAATGATACCAAGAAACAGCGAATAAAACCACAAAAAACATCCAAGAAAACACCTCAAATTTGCTATTTTAAACCAAACAGAGTCAGAATTGTGCTTTTCCCATCGTGCACTGCATGCTGCAAGATTTGATTTGTACTGTGCACCCTCACTGCACACTCATTCTCTCATATCTAGGCCAAACTTAACCACTCACAGCTTATTTTTAATTATCTGAGTGAGCCGAGCTCATAAAGTATATCTGCATGAGGAACCCTGGCATCTATTATGTAGTTTTACGTGATGGCCGCTCGAAGAGTAAAAGGTTTCACGTGTCTTATTGATCTACTTGTTGATATTTTATACTGTTAATATAATGATAGTTTTCTTTACTCTAGCTGGTTAACTGCTCATTTTCATTTATTTTTTATTGTAACAAAAGTGGAACTTCCTAGGTAGTAGGTACTACCATCTTGCCAAGTGAGTGTAATATGGAAACCCATAATTGTTTTAGATGGTGGTAGGATTTCTGGTTTCTTTTTTGTCTCATAAACATGCAGCATAACAGCTGCTTATACTTAAATCACACTACACATGCATATTTATTAGGGCTATAACTTTTTTACAACATAATATTCCTGTACTTAAGTCAGATGAACTTTTGCCTAAAAGCAAAGAAAAATCTTTTAATTTCCATATCTTTTTAGAAAATATCACCCCTAAATGAAAAAAAACGAGTAACAAAAACAAGTAACATGAATGCATATTGTATCATGTTCGTACATATATTACTACTTGTTGCCTAGAATAAATCAAAGTTGCAGTTTGTTTTTGTTTCTGCAGGCAGCATACAGTTCCTGCATAGCTCTGATTGCATGTTCAACACACTGATTACTTCTTGGTATATTGAGTGTGGACGGCTCCTGCTTCCAGTGATTTTTCAATGAGTTCAGTGCTTTTTCGTAAGGTTTCAATATTTCTGACAAATTCTTGAAGTCATTTTCATTGTACATCTGATCAGGTGTATGAAATGAATCTGCATATCTTCTCCAAAGTCTTCTATCTTGTAGGTATAAGAATGAATGCAAGAATAGCTAGAATGGCTCCTGAATTGCACCTCGCATTGCTGGTGTTTGGAATTTTCTGATAGTTAATCAAAGGAAAGTGCCCCTTTTCTTTAAAGAATCTAAACACCAGTGTTAAATGGTACAAAAACTTCATATCATATCTCCCTCTACTGGAGGATCTCTTCTGCATGAAATGTCCATTATGTTGCGGATAACTTGAACAACACCTGCGTACAACACTGAAATTCCACCAATCATTTCATGAAATTCAGGGATGCCCGATTTGTGATCAAAGAAACTAATTTCTGCAGACGCAAGTGCCTTGAATCAGCACTAATCGCCATTTCTAATACAATTAAACAAAACAAAGGTAGCTTCACCATCTCTGAAGTCTTAGCAAAAATCCTCCTGAAAACAGTAAACCCTGCCATCACAATGTCTCTCCTGCTAATACTACACAAGCACATTACAGAGGATGTACACTGAAATAAGCCTTCTCAAATCCAACCTCCAATAGAAATATTTGTCTAACCTATTTTTATGCTACTCAAGTAATAGCTTTTCTATTCTTTTACTCATGTGCAAGTTGATTGTTCTACCATATTGTATTATTACTACTACAACTTATATCACTACTACTGTTACTACTACTACCACTAATATTACACCTCACCCTAAGCCTATATATACTCTCTGTATCCATGTATTGTTTGTAACGCTTTGACAAAGCTCCTGGAGAGTGAAATATTGCCGCAATAAAATGTCACATTAGTTGCACTTGTGTCCTTTTACTTTACAGGATCTCTTCTGTTCCATTAACAAACTGAGCCTTTAGTTCCTCATAATTCTTCACCATTTGGGATACAAATGGATACTCAGTGTTTGGAGAACTGGTTTTAGCACAAAGATTTTCATGGATTACCAAACGGAGAATCCTGTCCAGAACGTGATGCTGACAACTTATAAATTGTGGCTTGCTAATCCCCTT